CCCAGAAGCCACACGGGGGAACAGCTGGACTTTTATATCTGCGTCTTTCGGCCCAACACATCCGATTTCATCAAATGCTAAACTTTTTGCCTTAAAAGACAGGCTTGATAAGGGCTAAACTCACCCGCAACCACTATGGTGCTCTTAAACCCAAAAAGGAAGTCTGAAACCCATAAAGGAAGTCTGGAACCCACAAAAGAAGATCTTAATCCATAAAGGAAGTCTGGAACAAACAAAGGAAGACTGGAATACATAAATGAAGTCTAGAACACACAAAGAAAGACTGGAATTCATAAGGAAGTCTGGAACACACAAAGGAAAACTACAATACATAAAGAAAGTCTGGGACACACAAAGGAAGTCTGGGACCCTTAAAGGAAGTCTGAAACACACAAATAAAGTAACCCACAAAGGAAGTAACCCACAAAGCAAGTCTAAAAACCGTACCGTCTAAATTCACACAGGAAGTGTGAAACCCATAAAGAAAGTGTGGAACCTAATAAAAAAGTCTGGAACCTAGAAAGAAAGTCTTCTGCTCCTATGACAAAGGACACTCTATGCCTGCAAAGTAATAAGTAAACCAAATGGTCAATTTCCACGTCTTTAGGCGAATCAACTATATGATGCTGGAAACAAATATATGTATAGACCATTCGGCACTCAATGGGTGATATTGTCAATTTCACTCCGGCTGCCTTTACATTAAATAATATTCCACAGCACCAATATTATATATAAAAACGTGTAACCTTATGAACGTTTAAAAGCTTCCAATCTCCACTGGGATTAGAACCGATGAACAGAGGACCAACAGGAAAAAGTGCTAGCCACTGCATTTCCCATTCATGCACGTTGCAGTGCACACAGACACATACACACACGCCAGCAACCATAAAATCTGCTTCAGTTTCAGTTAATCAACTCCACTGCACCGGGGTTTAGGTTATATGGCCCCTCCTCTCTTCGCAGAACGGCTAGCTACCTCTTGGAATCGTCACACAAAGCACAAACACCTTAGCTTCGGCAACGATTACCGGAGGGTCTTCGCAACATCTGCACTCGTGACCCCGAACGACGCAGCCGTCAAACGTCTTCCAGGGCGTCAGCAGACACCCCCTGTCTATTCTAATTTAAGCCATATAGCGCTGTACCAATGCAAAAAAAAAAAAAAAAAAACGATTCACAGCAGCAGGTTGGGCTGGGTATGTTACTGTTCGCAAACACACAGAAGAGGAAGAAATATACTTACCAGACTTAGATAGAGCTCTTCAGAAAGCGTGCCAAGTTGTACCGCCTTCTCAAACATGGTCAACGTAGCCTTTAGAATCTGTGGGTGAACCAAACACACATTTGTCAATATCTTATGTGAAGTTATACATGATTACTATTTCCAGGTTTATCAAGGTCAGTATATCTTTTCCAAGGTCAAATTCCAGGTTCCAGGTCAGGGCCACAATTTCCAGGTTTAATTAAAGTTTCCAGGTCCCCTACGAACACTGAAATAATTACATAAAGCCTATGTGAGGCGAACCAACGACTTCCAGAGCGCCTGGCAAATGGCTTCACCACTTTGCGCACCTTCCCCTTTTTATGGGTCCAAAGATTCGTCTCAAAAGACTAATAAGGCTTCATCCTCTTTAGTCAACGAACCTCCTGATTTAAAACATGTGAAGCCAGTGACAAGAGTCCGTTACTTTAATCAAATCGACTAAGTCAACACAGATCTAATTTTGCTAGAGAACCGGTCTAACCAGTAACCTACATTCCCGCTTAAGTACTTATTGACCCACAGTTGAACAGGAGAATCTCCTTCTTTCTTTCTCTCTCTATCTCTCCCTCTCTCTCTGTGCGTGTGTGTGTGTGTGTGCGCGCGAGCGCGCGTGCGTCTGTGTGTGTCAGTCCTGTCGCTCCCTATACCTCTCTTAATTCAGTGAATCTGATCTGAGTAAATACCACTTTCTATGCCGGCCCGTCTTCCCGCAAGTAAGCAGCAATTTTTAACCCCAGTAATAAGGGCTTTTCATTAGGACAATTAGAGAAACGCAAACACGCAAACACGGAATGTCCTGCAATGGCCAATACACGCAGGGTGGGTGGGGTGGGGTAGGGATTGAAAAAATAAGAGCGGTGTAAAAGAACGAGCGAAAGCAAAATTTTGGGAGTGCAATCCTGTTTCAAAACCTGAGTGTTGCGTGGGCATCTGTTTCACAGATCTGACTCATTTGTATGTAGACTACTGGTTCCTTGCCTCTCATGCAGATGCAGTCCGACTTCGAAGGAAGCTCCCAATTAGTCGACTCTTACGACATGCTTTTAGGTGGGCAGTAGGTATATTCTTGTTTTCCCTATAATAGGGCCCCGGAACCCACACAGGGGCTAAGATGATCTGTATCATATAGAACTTCTGATCGTTACTTATCTTCCTCTGAAAAGCCGGGCACTTAGGGACTTCTTTGTGTATGCGTGTGTGCACGTCTGTGTGTGTGTGTGCGTGCGTGTGTGTGTGTCCCTGTCTTTCCTTATCGGTTTTAATCTCCTCTCAATCAGTCCTTCTAGTCATTATTCTACTGCGACTCCCAGTTATGCTAGTCTAGTGCTTAACCGACAGCGCGGCGCTACAGATAATTGGTGATTTTAAGCTACCTTCTGGGATCGTAACCCAGGGCAACAAATTCCTGAAGACGTCAAATGTGTCAACCGAAAGGCGCAAATATCGCAGCCTTGCTGGTAAACGGACACAATAACATCAGGCCGTCGGATGGACTGTGAGCATTTTACTTATACAAAACAAAATGATATTATTCTTACACCAGCAAAAGAAAACAGAGTGCAAGATTTAAAGCAATGGCCTTCCAAAAAGTCGGACCTCAAACGGACTGACTGGTTTCTTTAGTGTAATGGTTTGAGAGAGAGAGAGAGAGAGAGAGAGAGAGAGAGAGAGAGAGAGAGAGAGAGAGAGAGAGAGAGAGAGAGAAAGAGAGAGAGAGAGAGAGAGAGAGAGAGAGAGAGAGAGAGAGGGCGACGTGAAGGGGTCGGTTGAGTTCGTAGAGCGTCACTGTTTCTCACCTGTCTCAGCGCACTCGCACGGCTGTACGTGTGTGTATGTGTGAGAGTGTGTGTATGTGTGACAGTGCGCGTGCGTTCGGACTATCTGGTTGTTCCCCTGTTTCTTTTTTTCAAATTGTACGGCCTCCTAGTATCCGTCTATACATCTACAGTGTATGTGTATTCTCCATTGTAAGGCAAACGTACACTGTGTACTGATTGTTTTCTCAAGCCCATCCGGTTCATAACTGACGAAGGTATTCACTTACGTAATATCACATTTCAAATAAAACGTGGCGGCTCTATTAACGACATTTTTAATGGGGAAAATATGCCCACCTATCCATCGAACTCTTTATCATTTATCCATCCTTTCCTCTATCCACCCATCCATATATCTGTTTGTCTATCTCTAACACTCGTGTAACCCCCATCCCCTTAAAACGCGGAAACCAGTCATCATTAAATATAACACACACACACAAAAGAAGAAAATACAGACAGTACTTTGTCCGGCATCACCTCCTACCACATTAAAAACTGCCGAATATCATATTTCTATGACCGAGAAAGAAAAAAAAATACTCCTTTTATATGGAGTCTATGAATACGTCTGCAACTATCCAAGACGGCTGAAAATAATCTCTAAACCACCTTTAATAACCCAGCCAAAGTGTAATATTTTCTGTTAAATAAGAAAGGCGAGGGAAGTGTGATATTTTCCTCAAATATCAAATAGTTTTCCCCAGGATTACTCAATTCCCGACACGCGCAGACGTCCGATGGATAACAGCCAACATTTACATCTTTTCAAAGCGAGAAAACCGCTCATTTCCACCCGTTTTTTTTTCCTCCCTCCTTCTTGCTTATAATTCTCTTCTGTCCTTGGTTTTTCCTTTTTCGAAGTGCAAATAACTTCCTTCTGCGAAGTTTCCGTCGTCAAAGAGTTTATTGTCCACTGGGAGTTGCAAAAATCAATGTCAGAATTGCCCACGATGTAGACGGAAAGGTAGCGGGTTATGAGAATATGTAAAAAGCATAATTCCACCCCTCCCCCCCCCCTCCTTTCCCCTTCAAGCCCCATACTGGGAAGGGGTGGGGGAGGGCTTCAGGCATCCCCTCTTCCTTTCCTCTCTCCAACTGATGATTTCTTCTTTGCTCGACCCTCAATCCTACACCCGAGTTGCTAGAATGGTGGCAGTTTGCCCATGGCGATGAGCACCTTGATAAACTGAGCGGGTGTTTATGACTAGACTACGGGACTGACGATACGGAAGTAACTTTTCGATTCACCCTCGCAGGCCGTGTGCTCGTCAGACTTATCTCTAAAGAAGTGGTTTCCAACTTTTCTTTAGGTTTTCTCCACCCCTCCCTCCCCCAAACCTCCGCGCTCCTCATTGAGTATATAGCAAGACTCCCGTCCCCCGAGTATACTGCAAGACCCCCACGCCCCTAGCCTTGAGTATATGACAGGACCCCCCCCCCCCCCCCCACACACACACACACTAACATTAAAAAATGTGAATAAAAATTAGAGGAAGATAGATTTCGCACCAAGTGAAACAGAGAGTATGGAGACACGTTTGGCCGGAATGTGTTGCTAATCTACAATTAAATGCCTGTTTTATCAAATGAAGTAGATTTATAACTGTAGATACACAAACTGCTTATGAAAACGACAAATGTTGTTAGCTTTTTGTTTTTTAAACAGCAAAACTATTTTATTATTTTATTTATAAATGAATTAAAAAATATACATTATGGATTATTATCCAAAAAAAGCTCAATTTCAAAACTGATTGATGCACACCTCCCCCTCCCCCTTACCGAATGAAGACTACTGCCTTAAAGTACCCAGAAGCCTTCTGTTGAAGTTATTCCCAAATTCACTCAATCCTTCCGGTCGCTTCCTTCGTCCCTTGATGCATACATCAACAGAGATGGAGGCTATGAGAATAATATTTGGAAGAACAACAGCAATGCTTTATCAAGCAGCAGCAAGACAGCAAGACAGAAAAGTCTAGATAACATAACTATCTGCTGGAAGGAGGGGGGGGGGGAACTGTGTTTGCGAACACTTAGATAAATCCACATGTGGGAAATAACAGAAACATCTGTTAGAATTAACAAAAGCATCTATGAAAACGAGCAAATAACAGAAACCTTCGTGGGAAATAACACAATTATCTATGGAAACGATCAAGATAACGAGACGATCTGAAGGAAGCAGAAAGATAACAGAATCATCAGTGGGAACCAGAAAGATAACAGACCCGCTTGTGGGAACTAGAAAGTCAACAGGGAACTACCAAGTGAACTGTATGAGGCTAACAGCAAGACAACAGATCCACACAAACCTAATCGGCCTACTAGACATAACCTATAGGAGAAACAACTATCAATGTGAACCTACAAGATAACCACTTAATGCTCTATATGAGAACTATAAGATCAAGCCGACCTATCTACGCAACCCCCCATCCACAAACCTAAAGAGACAACCCGGCTACCAGCAGGAGCAATCAACCTAACAAAAATATCAACCCGAGCTCGCAAAGCAACTAAACTATCGATGGGAAATATAAACATACTAGATCTTTATGTGAACCAACGAGAATCTAAACAACTATAAACATACTAGATTTATCTGTGTAAACCAACGAGAATCTAGACTATAAACATAACAGATCTATCTGTGTGAACCAACGAGAATCTAGACAACTATAAACATACCAGATCTATCTAAGTGAACCAACGAGAATCTAAACAACTATAAACATAAAAGGTCTATCTGTGTGAACCAACGAGAATCTGGACAACTATAAAAATACCAGATCTATCTGTGTGAACCAACGAGAATCTAAGCAACTATAAACATACCATATCTATCTGTGTGAACCAACAAGAATCTAGACAACTGTAAACATACCAGATCTATGTGTGTGTGAACCAACGAGAATCTAGACAACTATAAACATAGCAGATCTATCTATGTGAACCAACGAGAATCTTAACAACTATAAACATAGCAGATCTATCTATGTGAACCAACGAGAATCTAAACAACTATAAACATAGCAGATCTATCTATGTGAACCAACGAGAATCTAAACAACTATAAACATACCAGAACTATCTATGTGAACCAACGAGAATCTAAACAACTATAAACATACCAGATCTATCTATGTGAACCAAAGAGAATCTAAACACCTATAAACATACCAGATCTATCTGTGAGAACCAACGAGAATCTAGACAACTATAAACATACCAGATCTA